CAGTGAGTCAGTGAGTCAGTGAGTCAGTGAGTCAGTGAGTCAGTGAGGATATGACAGATAGTGATTTTGCAATGGATTATGAGATCCCTAATAAAAATAAGCATATTTGAAACTGTCACAACTATACCATATTTCTAAGAATGTACTGAATGCAAGTACTGAAGAAACTTGCAGTAATTGTTGACAGGAAGCACCAGCTTCTCATAAATTGGAGAAATACACTTTTATATTTACAATTAATAGTGAAAACTATACCTGTTCTTTGTTGAATTTGATTGTGGTTTAGAATGAGGTCATCATCCAAGGACAGTAATGATTTTGCTGCTTGCTGCAACTTTTCCACACTGATTTGGTGTTCTGCTAAGTCTTCCTGAAGCACCTGTGATTACACAACTGCATAGTGAGACATCCAGAACATAAATTCATAATGAATCCAGGTAATGAATATACTTGTGATACTGCTTATTATTGTACAAGTGAAATGCAAAGTATGTGGTAATTAAAATCTTAAATAATGTTCATTGAACAAAATTTGAACAGCTTCAAAAATTACAAGTAAACTCCAGCGAACTACATCAATGACATACATTCATATCCAGCATTTAATTTAGCAAAGTATCTCAAGGCACTTTACAGCAATGCCTCTTCTTAGCGTTTGTTGTTATGGGTTTGGGTTTGACTTTGACTTTGACTTTCATCATCAATAAATCATTACTGAATAAAAATTGAACTAAAGAATAAAATATGACATAGCTTCTCTTTGTGGCCTGATATATTAAGGTATAGTCCCGTTTCCCAATCTACTATACAGAATAGAAGGCTATCAATGTGCTACAAATAGCCTCAATGTCTTTTGAGCATGGAGGGGAAAAATTAGCAGGGGCTTAAGTCTTCTGACTGACATCCAGTTGCTCAGAGTATATTTGGATGATTTTTGTTACAGCAGCAAATTGGGTACCACTTAAAACTGCTGAGACACAGTTTCTTGATGCAGGAAATATTGAAAAGGCTGTTGCCTTGGCACCATACTGATTCTTCTGGGAAAGAGGAAAGTTGGTTAAGTTAAAGGTTGTGACATGGATTATTAGTTCTTGCAGGATTTCTTCTAAAATTAAGTAAACATGTAACTGCTTGTGTTAAACTAACAGTTGTAAAATCCACATTTTGTCATTGTTATTCTACAGACAAGAAAACATTCAATACCAGCAATATTTACTGTCTGAGCATACTCTAACATCCTTTTACCAGTCATCCTTTCAAACTTGTCCTATTTATGACTACTAACATATCAATGCAGCTGATTCTTGCCTGCCCTCTGAAGTGATGTAGCAAACCACTCAATTCTGCGATTAATAATAGGTTATAATTGCCAGTTAAGCTCACATCCCAGAAAATATATCTTTTTGGAACTTTTGAGAATGTGCATCTTGTATAAAAATAATGAATTAGAGAATTTAAAAAAAAACAACTATCCTGCTGTCAGGATGCTTCAGGCTCTTCAGTATTAAAGAAATCTTTCAAGATAACTTATACAGATGATACATTTGCCAGATTTAATTTATTATATGTACAGAGACAAGAGGTTAAATTTATCCTTACAAGTTCTGTGCAGGGGTGTTCTGGCAATGCGAATCAGCTCTAATGCAATTGACGAATAGAGGAATGCTATTTCTAAAACGTGAAATGGCGTTGGCTATAATGCATACTTGATGGAATCGCGTTGACATCGCAGGCTTTGTCAAAGGAAAAGTTATTTTTTTCAATCCTTGCAGATGTAAATGTTCACAGTAAGTCTTAATGAGCTCATTTGAAAAAGGTAATTGGATTGAATATCATAAACCTCAAATATAATATCACATAGAACAACCGTTTTATTAGGAAAATACGTGAAGTCTTATTTTGAAGAGTTTCTGCTGAACACATTAAATACAAAATAAACGGAAAGTCTCGTTTAAAGTGATACAAGTGCTGTTAAAACATTCACCTTTGTCTGTAGTATTTTACCCTTTGTTTTGTTGCATATTTAATATGTAAGAAAATTTGAACTTGCTCATATAAAGCATTTAAATCGAAATTGGTGTTATAATCTGCTCTTTTCCAGCACTATTTTGAATACAATGTTACTCAGGTTTATAATGCATTTTAATCCTATAATTAGCCCATTGACATTGAAGTTATATAGGGAAGAAAGGTCAGATTCCTCTGGAGATAAGCAAGAGCTGCAGATGGTGCAGCGGTCACTGCAACGTCCCCCTTCAGTGATCAAAAGTGCCCTCAACCACATCTCGTGTTTCCCGCACTTCTGCCTTCAAACCCCGTCCTGCCCCGACAAAAAGACAGAATCCCCCGGTCTTCACATATCACCCCACCAACCTCCGTATCCAGCATATCATTCTCCGCTACTTCCACCACCTGCAATCTGACCCCACGACCAAAGAGATATTTCCCTCCCCATCTCGATCTGCCTTTCGTAGAGACCACTAAATCCATGACTCCCTCATCCGCTCCACACTCCCCACGCTTTTCTCTGCAACTGGAGGAAGTGCTACACCTGCCCCTACACCTCACCTCTCACCTCCACTCAAGGCCCAAAGCAAACCTTTCATATCCAACAGGGGCTCACCTGCACATCCTCCAACTTGGTCTACTGCATCCAACGCTCCCGATGTGGCCTTCTCTACATCAGTGAAGCCAAGCGTAGACTTGGGAACTGTTTCGTAGAGAATCTTTACTCTGTACACAACAAATGACAACACCTTCTGGTGCCAACCATTTTAACTCCCCTCCCATTCCCTGGGTGACATGTCCATCCTGGGCCTCCTCCAGTGCCACAATGACACCCCACACAAACTGGAAGAGCAATACCTCATATACCGCTTCGGAAGCCTACAGCCCGATGGCCTAAACATGGAATTCACCAGTTTTAAAATCTCCCCCCACCCAGCCTCATCCATGCCCAACCCTCCCTCTTATCCCTGCCTCCTTGACCTGACACAACCTGTCCATCTTCTCTCCCACCTAGCCACCCCACCAATCCCACTGACCAATCCTCACCACTCCCTACCTGCATTCACCTATCACCATCCCACCTACCTCCCCAGCTCCCCTACCCCCTCCCCATTTCTGAAGGATCCCAACCTGAAACATCAATTTTCCCGCTCCTCTGATGTTGCCTGGTCTGCTGTGTTCCTCCAGCTCCACAGTGTATTGTCTCAGATTCCTTTGCTTCATTTATCTGAAAATCTATCCAGAAGTCTGCGCCGATGGAACGTCAAGGTCATATCAGCAATGGGCTAGGCTGTGATGCAGGCTATGTTGCAGATGAATAGATTTTAAATGATTACAAGTGTCAAGGCTCACACAAGTGACAGGCATAGTGCCAATACTTATAGGAGAACGGTGAAGAAGAATTTTGAGTGATGTTTTTGGTGGTCTGCCCCAACCCCACTTTTCCCATAAGTAGAGTTATTTCTACAGCATGATTTTCTACAAGGCAATGTTGTTGTGCTGGAACGCAGCTATCACGTTATAGCAGAACCCTCTCTACGTTGAGGAAAACTCAAACAAGGAAAACTAAAGTAAGCACTTGGCGAATTCAGCTTGCTACTTGCTTGGAATGATTTCTATGTTGGAAATCAGACATCAACAACTTAGGGCATGCTCCATCGACACTGGCCACACGTACGCCATGCCCATGGACATTGGCACCCAATGTGTGCCAGCCTAAGGAACCTTCAGAGCACATCTCTGATCTACTTACAGCATTAAAGTGCCAAAGCATTCTGCATCTTGGACTGATCTAACAACTATTGTTGTAATACTGCAGCAAGGACACTGATCAATCAGGGACACACACCCAGCTCTCAGATTGCACAGGTTGCATCTCCAGACTCTTTGCTTGCTCACAGTGCTCGCTCACTAAGCCCACCTAGATACTCTCAATATCCCGGTCTTGCATTGCCTTTTTGTGCCTCACTGTTGTTTTGCCATGCCTATTAGTACAGAAAGTCAGGAAGTTTGTAATAGTTGTCAGCAGGCCTATGTCAAGTCAAGGGGGAGAACCCGTGCTCAAGAGTTCTTGGCACAGTTAAGTCATGGGCAACCTCCAATTCCAGTGTAGACTCAGTGGGCAGTCAGAATCAGGATAGTCTTTTTATAAGGTGAGGAGAGTCCAGTGATGCAGGTCAACTTGGCTCATTCCACCTTCTTCTGACCTGTTTTCCTCATGGATTGAGAGGAGGTGGTGGTATGTCAGGAGATGAAAACATGGTTGGCACAGCAAATACAGTTGGTGCAGGTGGGAAGGTGTTCACAGCAGGTGAGCAGGTAGTGCAGAGGGCATGTAGTGTTAGTGGTGTTGGGATCAACGACGGCTTGTGGAGAGATGTTGCAGACAATAGTGGGAACGGTAGAGTATGAGCCTTGGTGGGAGGTAAGCACAGTAAAAGGAGAGATAATCGTGGAAGTTATCCTGGAGGACTGGAGAAAAATAGATAGATATTTTCCTTCTTGTAGTCTGGCAATTCCTCCAGAAAGGGCAAGAGTACTTTCAACCCACCTAGCAACCCTTGAGCAGGTTGATGTTGTCTGGGTTTATGGACTCCACAGCTGGCCCTGGGAAGATGAAGAGGAAATCCCACATTGGCACCATTCTGTTCAGCAGGACCTCCAGGACCCTACCTGCAAAGCAGGAGGTGAATATTCTCCATCTGTCATGTCCTGGGTAAATGTCAGCATCCATGCTAGGCAACCCCAGACTGTCAAATGTGTGCCTCGGTATACAACGGGCTTTTAAAGATGGCATGGCATAAGGGACGCTGGTGAATTCTGGGTTACCTGCTGAGTGGCAAGTTATTCCAGGAACAGCATGTGGGTAAGATATGCCAGAGCAGTGGGGCATGGTGATTAATAGAGGTGAGACATGGTGAGAAAACTTGCAAGGCCTCGCAGTTATAAGCCCTCTTAAAAAAAAACTCAATGCAATTTGGACATCAAAAAAAAAAGAAAGATTTAAGGTCTCTGGGATTTTCCCCAGGCAATGGGAAATTCACTTTTGCCACTTCTAAACCAAAAGCAATCCAAATGTCTTTCATTGTTTGCTCTCTCACCCTAAAACTCAAAATAAACAAACTCACTTTAACCCTACAGGTAGGCCCTAGTCACCAGGTCTCTGGTAACATTGGTTTAAAAGCACGGCTCCAGAAAGACTGACAGTATCAAATCCCCCTCACACATATGGACCAAAATTGACACGCCACTAGTTCAAAATCCAAACTAAATTATAATATGTTTATAAATCTCACAACCTACAACATAACATAGGAAGTAATTAGATCATGTTTATGGTGAAAAGTCTCACATCCCATCTCCCAGTGAGATAACGATTTACATTGATTCACTTCATGTAAATTATTGTTAAAGTGGCTAAGATTGGCATCGGGGATGCTGGGGAATTTACGGGAAACAGATGAATCATCCACTAGACATTTATGGTCGAAGGGGATTACAAATGTTTTAGCCTTGTCTTTTGTGTTGATGCACTGGGCTCACCCATCTTAGAGAATGAGGATATTTGGGGAGCCAACCCCAAAAAGGAGAGTTGCCTAATTATCCACAATCATTCACAACTGGATATGGCAGGTCTGTAGAGCTTAGATTTGATCTATTTGCACAATTGCTTAACTATCTATCATATACTTCTTCCACTGATTGGTATGCAAGTAGTCCACGTGTGGTAGCTTCACCAGGTTGATGCATCATTTTTCAGTAGTGCTGCTTCTGGGACGACATCCTGCATTTGCTTTGGGGATTTTAATATGACCCAGATTGTTTACAACATGTAATAATATTACTTTGCCATTTTCATAGCTTTGCCTTCAAGTGTTAAGAAGTTTCCATATTAATATTTTAGAATGAATGGTTTTACCTTGATACTCTCAAGCTGCAGCTGCAGGCTTTGTGGATCAGAAGAAATGGTTTCTGACAGAAGTTCATCCCCAGTTGTCTCAGAGTTCTCCAACCACACATCCAAACCATTGGCAACATCTTGGAAATGTTGGTATTTTTCCAACATATTCGTCAGGTGACAGCCAAGTTCATTGCACTGTGAACAAGCCAAATAATTACATGGATTTTTAAAACTCTCCACTTTTTGTGGCATAGTCGGTTTTGCCCAATTCAGTGAGCATCCAACCCATGCAAGATATGTGGAAGGAAGTGCACTGTCACATGTTATTGATTAAACACTCAAATCATAACACAGCATTATCTTTTTGAAAATTACAAATGAAGCAGCAAGGTTGATGGAGCACCATCAAAAATGTGCAAATCAGAGGAGAAGATTGCGGAATCAGCAAGTGATGGAAGACTGAAGGAGGACACTATTTAGAAGAACTATCCAATTAGTACAATTGCTTGGCTGTTGCTCTATAATCCTGGATTTTTTTCTCTATCAATTACTTATCCAATTTCCTTTAGAAAGTTATTATTAAATCTTCCCCCATAAGTCCAGATTGAACTCCTCCAGCTTCTTGAATTATCCCAGCATCATTTCATCATTATATGCAAAAGGAGCAGAAGTGTTAAAATAAATGGGTTTTCAGGGTAGCTCTCAGATATCAGACAGCTTCAAAAAAAAATCCTGCAAGTCCAGTGTGTGCTGTACTGAGCTAGGAGTAATCAATAATTAAACAATGATTGCCCAGAGTGTCAAGTGCCCCATTCCACTCCACCAACCACTATTATGTTAATCAGGATATAAAATCAAAACATCATTCTTTGATTTACAGGACTAGCATTTAGAAAATACAAAATAAAAACAAAACCATAATAATTCTGAGTGTCTAATTTTCAATAAAAACCAAAAGAACTGTGGATGCTGTAAATCAGGAACAAAAACAGATGTTGCTGGAAAACTTCTGAGGAAGAGTCACTGGACCTGAAAAGTTAACTCGGATTTTTTTCTTTGCAGATGCCGCCAGACCTGCTGAGCTTTTCCAGCAACTTCTGGTGTTGTGTCTAATTTTCAAATCAAGTAATGCAATTATGACCAACAGCTCGACAATTGCCTCAGTATGTCAAATATAATCTGTTCTGGTTTTAATTTTCTTTGAAGTTGAGCCTGGTACAATTATACTTCCCAGGAAATAAATATTATTTAGTAGGATGATTTTTGCAGTAGTGTGTGCGTAATTGAACAAAGTTGGATCACTTAAGATAGTCATAATGGACAGCTAATTTAATGACACTGTGTCCCATGCCAGTATTGTTTATGAGACAACTGAACCAAACAGACTTCCACAATGTTGTCTATATAACCACATATTAACCATTGATTGATCTTGTGTATTTCTGGAATTTTAAAATACAATACGAGACATTAAATACTTTAACTTTAAGAAAATGAAAGAGATCTTACTTTGGAATGAAGTGTGTTGTAACGACTTTTGGCATCTTCCAACTTGTTCTTCACTAGTGCGCTGGTAACAGAAGGATCGATTGGGGTTTTAAAATTTTCATTTGTATTGGTTTCAGCAAAGACATCTGCAATGTCCAGAACCTTTTGCCCAGAGATTGTGATATATCTTAAATCCCCTTTATGAGAAATAATATCCTCAGAGAAACTCTTCTGTCTCTGCAGTCTGATTTCTAATAAGTCGTTGTCCATTTCTCCAATTTTTATCTCTTCAAGTTCATTTTCAGATTGGATTAGCCAGGCCTCAAACTCACCATGATCTATTTTTACAAAAAAGATAAGGCAAGGTATCAGTTATACAGATATCATTAAAATATGATATGATGTTATATTAAGTCCTGTGTTTTGGAAAGGAGAAACCATTTAAAAAAAACCTCGAATTATTCAGAATTAATTCTATCCCAGAACAATTACTACAGCTAATTCCAGTCATATTATTCAAAACTAGCATTTCATATAAATTTATTCCCAATTCTTTTCAATTCAAAGTAAGTATGTTTCTTTGAAATTTGGATAGCAAAGTGATTCATTCACCCACCTTTTAGAAATTTTTGGAGTTCTTCCTGCAGGGCTTGCACATGTTTCAGTTGAGTTTCTGCCTGCAAAACTGCTGTTTCATACTGTATCTTCAACTCATTCAGACTATTCTGCAGTTGCTCGCTCTGTTCTGGTGAAAGGTTATGGCTATGCTTGTCCAGGAAGGATTGAGCTGACTGTGTTGCTAATAGGAAAGCTTGCTGTTGCGATAACAAGTTTTCATGACTGACCTGTAAGAAAATAACATAATTGTGCATACAAAAAGGAAAAGCTAAATTTTCATGGTCCAAAATCTTTTTCAGGAATTTAGGTGTCTTTAGTACAAGGCCAGTCGAAATATGGTATCAAGTCTTCCTGATTTTCAGTAAACAAAGATGACGAGACATTAAACAAACATGCCCCTTGAAGTGGGTGATGTTGCAGAGAGACAGAACAGTTAATTGTTGGAATTTTAACTAGCTAATTTGCACAGTGACAAGTTTCCTGCCCAGCTCAGGGTGGGCAGAATCTGAGTGCTTCAGGCAGCACACAGTTGTAGGAAATGGTCAGTAACAAGTACCAGAGTGGGAAATTCATAAAGGAGGGTGCCCTCTTGGCACATTTTAGAACATTTAAGCAAGCAGATAAAGCAGCCAGTCCATCAGAGTGGACAGGACAGATAGGAACTCCTTTAAAAGAAAGCATTTGGTTGCACCCTGGCAGTTGTTGGGTGCATGCCTACAGGCAGTTGAATTGTCCCTCCTTCAGACTAGGACATCAGGGACGGATCGGAAAATTCCCAGTAGACACCTTTAGGTATTTTTAACAACAACCTGTTCAGACATGTTACGATACATCGCTGGAGCAGGAGGGACTTGAACCTGGGCTTTCCAAAACAGGAGGTAGGGACACTACCCTCAATCAACTTTTAATCTCTACTTGACAAGGCTCTTAACAAGCTTAACTGCTTGTTCACCCTCAGGGCAGATGTACTTCGAGCCCTGAACCAGCACCTGCCTCTGGAGTCAGCAAATCAGAAGATCATGTGAATATAAATAACTCACACATATTGTACATAAAACCAAGAACTGTGGATGCTGGAGATGTGGAACAATCAAAAATAAAAATTGCTGGAGAAACCCAGCAGGTCTGACAGTACCTGTGGAGAGAAAACAGATTTAATGTTTCAAGTCCAATGTCCCTTCTTCAGAACTAGAAGCAGCTAGAGAAAGGTGGTAATATTGTTACGAGGGGGCGTGAGGGCAAGAAGATTGAGCGAAAAGATAGAGTTAGTGGGCTTTGTACCTACCTATCTCTCTCACACACACACAATCAGCATAAATACTACCTTTTGTAGCTGCTTCTAGTTGTAAGGACAAGTCACTGGACTGGAAACATTAACTCTGTCTTCTCTCCACAGGTGCTGCCAGACCTGCTGGATTTCCCCAGCAGTTTCTGTTTTGTGTTACCACACATACAGTATTTGTTTCTGTCTGATATTAAGGGTCAAGTCAAAACAGCAACAGAGATCTTCTTATTACAATTGTTTTATAAAAAGTGCTCTAAATCTGGAAATGACTGAAATATTCATACCTTTAATGCCTGCTGCTGCTGGTTTAGTCTTACACCCATCTCAGCCACAGTATGTGTTACATCATTCGGGCCTTGTAGCTGTAAATCATTTTTTAGTGTATCCAATTCATCACCATCAGGCTTTAAGCTTAGTTCTTCCTGAAGCAGTACAGGTCGGGAACATGATTCTGCCTGCTGTTGCCTGGCTGAGAGCCACCCTAAAAGGCCATCTATTTTACCCTTGTTTTCTTCAAATTCTTTGGCCGCTTGAGCCTATAAATAATTACACTTAAGTTAATTTGGAAAAGGGATAGCATTTTGATGAAAGATAATAATTGTCCACTTTTTTTCTAGATTTAATACATAGCAGTTTCAGAAGAGAAATAATAATAAAAAGTTCATAGGTTGGATTTTACAGCTTCCAGTGGAATGTGCTGTTGGCAGTTATAGGAGTGGGGGTGGGAAGAGGAGGGGAACAAATATTACACATGGTTAGTTCGCTGCCATCTTGGCTGCCCTCAACCGGCTCCCATGGTAGGGTGGGTTGTGGCATGCCAAAAAAAGAAATGGCAATCCACATGACACTTTTAGATAAGTAATGCAAGGGCAATTGTGTTTGTCACCAGGCGATTTGACCTTAATATTACATGACCCATTTCATAATAAATACATCTTCATTTTGGGCCTATTTGCAGTTACATAAACACCTACTTCTCAGTTCTAGTGCTGCTGGGACTGTAAGAGCTGTTGGATAAACTGGTTGGCCATCAATGAGGTTGGGACTTCCTTCCACCGAGTGCAGAGTCCCAGTCTCCACTAGGTTAGTCTGCACCACGTCTGATTGTTACAGGCCAGCTTTTTAAAACAAAGAGTATTTTGCTGGCATCTAACATTTGCAACAGATTTTAACCTCCTGTTTTAATCCACAGCATTCTGATCTAGATCACTCTCGTAATTCTACTGATTACTATTTCTAGGCTTGGTATTTGCAAGATTAAATTGTCAATTTTCATGCAACTGTAAGAGATAAGAAATAGCAAGGAAATACTTATTAAATTGCCGTCACCACATTTGTGTTCTTTATCACTACTTTGTGTCTGAGTATCATTCTCCAGTGCAAGACTGCACTGCTGCCACCCTATCAAAAAAGTGATTTTTTCCACTTCGACAGAAATGGTTCTGTGTATTACCTTCTCAGTTTCTTGCTGGATAGCTTTTGTTAAGGCATTGCCTACTTGCTTCTGAAGTGTCTCAGTACTTTGACACAAGACTTGGTGCTGAGCCTTTACTTTCATCAATTTTGTTTCAACTGCTGCTAGTCCATCAGAATCCAGCTTGCCTTGATTTTCCAACAGACGTTGTGTGGCTTTGTTTACATCCTCTACCACAGAAGCACGTGATTGCACATCTTCTTGCAAAGCCTAAAAAGGAAACGCAGCACCAAAATCAGTAGAATAGCATTTCTACACAAAAAGACAATTAAATTATTTAAGTATGCTGCTTGCTTGCATCATTTGATTTTGAAACACAGAAAATAGAAGGAGGCGGCCATTCAGCACTTTGAACCTGCTCTGCCATTCAATGTGATTACGCCTCATCATCCAACTCAGGGCCCTTTCCCTGCTTTCTCCCCATTTCTTTTGATTACTTTAGCCATAAGAACTATATCCATCTCCTTCTTGAAAACATTGAAGGTTTTGGCATCAACTGCTTTCTGTGCAGAGAATTCCACAGGCTCTCAACTCCCAGGGTGAAGACATTTCTTCTCATCTCTATCCTAAAAAGTCTCTCTTTCATCCTTGGATTGTGGCTGCTGGTTCTTTAGATGAACTTTATCATAAATTCCTCTTATAATAAATGATGATTCACAAATATATGATGGGTTTCACTGGTATAAGTTTACTGCACTTCATTTAGATGCTCTGGTCACTGGATTGCTTGATTGGTTTGTGAAAACTTTCAGGCTGACACGTGCAAATCTTAGATTATATTTGCCATTTGTTTTCTCTGCAGGCAAGTTTTAGTTGTAAATTTTCTATTCTGCAGAATATCAAAATTCAGCTTTTCACTCTTAATAGACCTCAAGTTAGCTCTTAAAGGTAGGTTGGTTCCATGCAGGTATAAGTTTTACAGCTGTGAAGCATAAAAGTCCATTTATTACGAAAAATAAATGTGGCCCAACCTAGCCTCCAGCACAACCGGACGCTCTCATGAAATGCCCAATATAATGTCATGATAACAATACACTTGCACTGAATTGTGCAAAGCTTACACTAATTCATTATTTGTATTTCCAAACTCTTACTGCTGGGATGGTCTGCCAATGATTGATGTTGATCTCAATGGCATTAGCAGTTAAGGGGGTGGAACCAGGTAGGACCAGACAAAGATAATTCACAGTTGTTTTACTGAAGGTAGCTGCCCAGCTGTTACATGCAGTTTTGAGATGGAAGATATACTTTTATTTAATATCTCAACAGCACGAGCAATGGGACTGAATTTCATCCTTAAATTATCAAAAGGAAAATAAAGTTTCTAAACTAAGTTATAGTGATACTCAATTCTAGAACAGAGATTGTTCATCTCAGAAATAATTCAGGATGACTAAAAACAGCACCATTGAACAGAAACTTACTCAAATTTTGGGCTGTAAAATTCTTTACTTTATTCAAAGAGCTAAAGGGTAATTAATTATCTTGTGAATATGGCAAAGGCCACATAGGATTAAATCTACTGTCATAAAGCTAAAACATCGCTTTTCTGCTTCTATGCACTTTCATTTGTAGATATCTAATATAGTTACTTCTAACCAATAAATATTGGCATCTGTTCAGACATACAATGTTAATTGAAAAAATATTATACATCTATAGTAAAGTTTACTATAGAGAGGCCACTGCAGCTGCACCAATAATATGCAAAGAATGCTTGGTCCATGGCAAAGGGAAACTATGTAAAATTACAGCGCCTGGTTTGTAAGGGGCAAGATCATGGCAGCATGGGTTTGATGGGCCAAATAGCCTCCTTCAGTTCTCTAATGAACTCAAACACCATTAAAAGAATTAAGTTATAAATCCTAATGGTCACAGTTTAAATAGAACTCCCTTTTAGTAGAAAATTGTTGCAGCATTAGTTGCAACAAGTGATGGTCTGATTTCTCTTTTTTTAAAAATCTGGATTCCCTTGAATTGCATTTATGCCAGTCACAATAACTCCTGTGGTAGTGAAGTCCATATTTTAACCATTCTCAGATTTTTCTCCTGAATTTCCTATCGAATTTGGTTGCATGGAGCTGTATTTCAGCATGGGTTTTGGTAGCCCAATGTCAGGGCAAGAAGTGGGACCGAAGCCCACACGCACTGTGGCAGAGGACTGGCTCTAATTTTAGAATAGTTGGCCTCCAAACTGGCTGCTTGCTGGCATGCCACCCAAATAGGGAAGGCTATAGGAACTGGATGTTGCCAGCAGCACCACAAACTGTTAATCCTGCCGTTCCTGCAAATATGATTCCCAACTCTGTGCGCGCGTGCGTGTGCAGTGCTGCGAGTGAGAACAAGCAAAGAGACAGGTATACTGCTTTGCAGTCCTCTGCTGGAGAGAACTGGGGACGCTTCTTCATGCAGATCCTCACTGTTCCACTGACTTTCTCACCACCCAGTGAAAGTCAATGTCCGTTTTCTAATTTGCTGAAATAAAAGTTGTTACCTCTGAAACTTCAGGAAACAAAGACAGAAGGTGTATCATTCAAGATCTGCGTTTGTTTTTGTTTGGTTTACATCAATTTAAATTTTAAAAAAATGGCAGATAGCTGGTCAAAAAGCAAGGATGTTTTATTCGTGTGACCTTCCTATGACTAACCTGAATTGCACTCTGCTGCTGACGAAGTGCTGGCAGATCACTCTCACCAACTGCCACCTGGTGACAGGCTACTCTGCTAGCCGTCCGAGCCAGCCATGTCGTGAGTTCATCCAGTTTCTGCCTACATTCCTCTTGTTGCTCTTGCTGTGCCTGAAAGGAGACAAAAAAAAATTACATGCCCAATTCCTGCTTCTGTGATGCAAGTCTCAGAATATTTGTTTTTAAGTAAAACTTTACATTGTCTTTAGAATATTTCTGCATGGGGGCAACATACAGATCTATGCAGATTTTTGATGTTAAAAGTTCTAAAGCAATTTTTCTTAAATATTAGTTGATTGTGTCTAAGACAAATACTGAATTAATGGCTTCTTTTAATTAATTAAAATATATTGAAAGTTTACAACAACCACAAATTTGAATCCAAATGTAATTCATAACGATATAGGCATTTGAAAACCATGTTTGAAAGATAATTAATTTATGATCTGTAATACAAGGCTTATGTTAGCAGGTTAATTTAAGTTTTATATTACTTGTTTGTATGATAATAGAAAGAAACCGCAGTGGGCTTTAACTGTCAATTAGAATTTTATGCATTACGAAATCTGAATCTAAGTTCACTACACATTCAGAAATCTGCAAAGAACTTCAATTGAGCCAGTTGGACTTTTAAAGAGCTGGTCAAATGGGAACTTTGTATTTTGTTCACCTCTCCAGCTTTTGTATACACTTTAGCAACCATTGCAAGAATTAGTAAAATTGAGCAGGATGTGTCACACAAATACAAGGAATGTATCAAAGCTACAGTGTGAAAATTTCACAATAAAATATTTTAGAAGCAGTACAGAATCAGTTGTTATTGAACAATAATGACAGGAATTATAAGCATGTGGTTTTGCAGGTTAAAAACCACAGTTAACACTTGAATAACCATTTTCAGATCCACTACAAAGAATTATCTTCATTATAATGTGAGCCAGGGCGAGTTATGGAACAAAAGTATCTGGAAAAGCAAGGCAAAACAGGTTACAAGATTGACACAATGACCATTGGTTAGAGGGTTACAGATAGCATTGCAGCTGAACAAAACACACAGAGATAATCTATACAACATAATAAGACACTGCCAAATGCTGAAATGTCTAGTTAGAATGCGACTTAATCCAGATTAAACATTTCTTGGTTACTTTACTATAAACCTTTTTATGGTCAAAGTCGATTTCATCAAGTTTACGTTTCTGTTAGAAGCTCAAACTTCTTGGGATTCTTTTAATACTGGTTGTGCCAATTTACAATCGGCCGAATTCAAACCAATCCATCACAATGAACAATGATTTTTCAATTGAAGTGCTCAACTGTACTTAACTAAATATTCCCAGTTTTCTCAAATAGGTATTAGTGTACTTTCTTTCTAATTGAACTGCTTTATCAATTTACATCATCTGCAGCAGCTACCTGACTGGAAATAATATGGAAGGCAAACTGCTTTACTTTTTTAGTTCTTTAGCTAGCTAGGCCTGAATTGCTCAAACTGGGCATGTCTTAATTTCAATATGATAAAACAGTATTGTGCGGCTTTGACTAACTGAAAACTGAGTTTATCATTTCTATTAACTGTCATCATTTTAGTATTCACAGGTGGAAACTATTTGTATATAAACAGAACTGCAGTTATTTTAGTAATATGCAACAATGCTTTCAGGTAGAATTACAATTGATTCAAATCATTAAGAACGTTATTAGTTGCTTTTCCCTTCTTAACTTGTAATATTTTGAATATATTTTGAAAATAAATTCTTACTTTCCTGTCTATAGTGAGATTAATATTTTATACACAAGAAACTATGATTTTCTTTTCCTAAGGTTGAATATATATCTTTGTGTTTAAAGTTAATTGCTGACTGGGCCAAACCTTCTTGAACTCCATGGACTCTTTATCCTGAAGGTGAAGATCTAATGCTTCTATTTGCTCCAAAACTTTTTCAGATGTTTCCCTGAATGATCGCTGTAGTTCATTTAATAGTCTAAGCAATTGCCTGCTTTGTTGAGGGGTTAGGTCTTGGGCACGTTCAGAAATAAAGTATTGAATATCAAAAGCTGAATCATCAATATCTGCTTTAATGTGCGACAGTGACTGTTTCAGTTCCTGGAACAGAGGGGGAGAAAGTGAAAGAAAATAAATTAGTGTGCATTTGAAATCCAAGGTCCTATAGCATAATCTACATTTTAGAGCTGCAGAACTTCCTTTGAGTATTTTAATGAAAATCATTATTTTGCTTTGGAATTGCTTTTTGCATTCCGAAATCTAGTCAATTACAAATAATTCAAGGTGTATTGTAACGGAGTTACATACACCCAAGTTGAAACTTATAGTAATGCATCAAAAAGACATACTTATACTGTCCATCTCTAAAACCTATCACCCCAAGTTGTCATACAGTAGTGGTATGATACTTTACCAATTTCTATCACAATGCTTGACCTCTCAGGTAGGTGTTATGTCAATACATTGATGGAACACAACTAGTTGGGAATGCCAGCTTCCTTTAAAATTCAAAGCACAGCTTCACTTTTAAGGCCGTGATTGCTTGAAATTTGAATTGAGTATCAGAGGAAGCCAAAGGAGCCATAAAAACAGCTAATGTGGACACCAAAATGAGAAATTGAAACAGAAGGGAGTGCTTTTTAACATTCCATGCAAGACAGACAGTAGGAAACCTGCAACATTAAAGGTTTGTATTTAGCAGTCTACTTGGAAACCAGTGTTATCTATGAAATTAAAATGACCTGTTAAATTCAAGGTTAGTAGTAAAAATATGAACAAACTTGAGACTTGCAAACATCCAAAATTCATAGATTGCTTATTCACATAGCCTGTTCAAAGCCTTCAAAAGAAAAGTTTTAGGAAGATGTAAATGAGGAAAATGGAACCAGGTTTTTAACAGGAGAAGAATTTTATGAATGTTTTAAGTTCAAATAAATAAAAGTAAAAGATTATACTTGAGGTAAAAAGAAAACACAAAGAAAACAGTGGCTCAATATGATTGGAAACCGGAAGGACGGAACTAAGTTCTGTTAAACTATTTTCTATAGTGGGGGATAAAAATTGGAACATTTCATAGGACGTTATCATTGTGCTGTTCAGATAAAAGAACAGTTATAAAACATAGTTGTCCTTTGCTGCTTTCTGAATATTCGTTAAGTAAAAACAATTGAAATTGGAAATATGAATGTCCTTTTAAGGAGGATTCAAATTCAAACAATAACAAGTCACCAAAAGTATTTAAAAATCAATAAAGGTTGTGTGGAACATTGTTCAGTAAGTTCTAGGATGTTTCCTGAGCTTGTCTATTAGAGAAAAATATGATATGATTTTTTTCTTGAATTCTGCATTACTTATTAAGACATTAGTTAGAATATTGTGCAACGTATGTATTCAAGAAAGCAATGATAAACTAAAGTGTTCAAACACCTTTTTAGTTCTTTTTTAAATGAACAAAGACAGAAATTGCTTGAAAAGTTCAGCAGATCTGGTAGCATCTGAGGAGAGAAATCAGAGTTAATGTTTCAGGTCCAAGTGAAGTCAGGAAGGGTCACTGGACCTGAAACGTTAACTGATTTCTCCCCACAGATGCTGCCAGACCTGAACTTTCCCAGCAATTTCTGTTTTTGTTTGATTTGCAGCATCTACAGTCATTTTTGTTATTCACTTTTTAAAAAAAATTAGACTGGGATGGCAGGTTTGAAGATTTGCACAGAAAATAAGGAAGCAGTAAGCAAAAATGTGTCAGCTGATGCTTCAGGTGCCTGATGAATGAATCCTGTCCTTGGGTATCTATATCATGGGTTAGAACTTCTGATCATTGCAATTACTTGTTTTGAACTCTTGCTTCATGAAACAGTTGTGTTCTATTGGGACGATATTTTAGTAGGAATTCATCTGTGGGAAGCCAACTTATCCTATATAGAGTACATTCATTAAAGTCTTATTTAAACTTTCTGGAATGTTCTTCTGATTATTTATACTATTTTTGTACTGCATTTATGTTATTTACTTACCAGCTAATTTGAAACATGAGTCAGTCATTTACCTTATATTGCTGCAGACTCTGTTTTAAGGCCATCACATCTTTTGATGTCTCAGATTCTATCATATACACAGTTTGTGTGGTTTGAATTAACAAGTCCATAAGTGTTCCTTGTTTCTTTTGAAGCTGATCATATTCAGTGATGACTTTATTCTAAAACAAAAGACAACTGTCAGTACTATATACCTTTGACATGCAATTTAACTTCTGGTTTATTTAATATCCTTAATAACTTGCTTGAAAAATATTTCCTACTTCCATTCTCCAAATTAGTCTTGTAGGAGCAGTTTTATTTAACTCATCATTTTTTGACAGATCTCCACAATTTCTAGTACAGTTATTTCAAGAGCTGCAATTCAATTGTACATGGCAAATTACTTCATGCAGAAAACTTTTACAATGATATCTTTATCCACACTTTTGATACATACAAGTTTTGCATGAGCATTAACTACAGCTGTTTTTCCATTATATAACTACAGTGGAACAAATCAACTTCTGCAACTTTGTTTATGATGAACTGCCCCGTAGTTTGACCGAGTATTGATCAAACTCAGGCAAGTCTAATGACTTTTAAAGACAAGCAAACTGGTCCATTAGCTTCATAATTCGCAATTTAAACATTTTTCAGGGCACCTAATGAGCATGTTTTACACGCAAAAGAATTTGACTTATTTCTGTATTAAAATCTCTCTCATGGAGCTGCAAAACCAGAATTCTAAAACTTATTCATTTCCAGATATTATCTAATTTTCTCACTGAACAAGTGCAAATTGAGTTACTATAGTTGAAGAATAATGGTGAATTACTGCCATCATAATTTTGGCAATAAGGCAGGTTTAAATGCAAGATTTCATGCCCAGCTGTTGTAAAATTGATCAAAGTTGAATTTTTCAATAAGTAATTAAAGGGAGGAAATAACGTGATCAGATGGCTGAAATTGTACCAATGAAAACATGCTCATCAGGTCTCCTGGAATTAGGCAGATAACATTCAAACTGAAGATTGTCCAAGGCAAAGTGTTTGAATATACACTTCTCATTCTTAGCAACTTTGTTTCTTCTTTTTAATTTGCCTATTTCTTTAACCACATTCTAACAATTACTTGATCATCTTCTATGTTCACGTTCAAACAAAAATTCCTTTCTAGCTTTCAACACTATTTCCAACATATTTTAACTGGCAAGGAGAACTGCTATGACCTCGGGATAGGTTTCCATTTCTAAAGACAAAATCTTCCATCTGAAGAAAAAGTACATTTATACAGTGTGTTCTGGAATCCAGGATGAATCAATTCTTGACGCTCAAAATAATACTGTGAAGCATCACAATCTTCGGTTTAGTAATCAAAGACAAAATTAGTCAGACATTGTTTCTGACTAAAGTTTTTGCAAAGATTTGTAGCTCGGGTTGTGGGTGAGGTTGTTGACTTGCTCGCCGGGCTGGCTTGCTTTCGTTCAAACATTTCGTCACCATGCTAGGTAACATCATTAGGTGAGGCCTCCAATGAAGCGACGTTGTTTTACTCCGCTTGGAATTTATACAGTCCAGTCCATTATGTTGAATAGTGTCATTTCCGGTTTCGTTTTGTATGGGTTTGTATATGCGGTCCAATTCTGTACGTTTGTTCATTGCCTTAGGGGTTGAGAACCATGCCTCTAGGAATTCCCATGCATGTCTATGTTTGACTTGGCCTACTATAGTTACATTGTCCCAGTTAAACTGATGGCCTTCACTGATGTTACCCAGCATGCTGACTAAATGCCGGAACAAAAATAAGCCAGCTCGGCGAGCAAGTCAACAACCTAACTTTTTGCCTACTCATGTGGAAATGCAATGGCCGAGTAATTTCAGCTTAAATGACAGTTCAGTAATTGCAAATATATAATGTTGAATTTGCAACAATTCACTCCACTTTAAACCCCAATTCTCAGCGTTAGTTACTTAAGCATTCCTTTGATATCTTGCCATATTTATACAGGTTATCTGGCGGACGAACTACAGACTATTCAAGCTGACATCTTTGCAAGTATATGGCCTCCAAGGATCGATGAAGGATAACGCACATTGATGAGGAGGGAACACTAAATAAGTTAAACTTTTTATGAATTACGGTTCAACTTATACATTTACTACATTCTTTCATTCAGCTCACTTTTTCAGTTGCCAACATGTTTGTCAGAGTTCCATGCCAGGTTTTTGACACTTCACGAACAGAGGCAAATGATTTTTGCAGGTTTTTTGAGTCTTTCTCAAGTGCTTTCAGTAACTGTTCAGGCACATGTTGTGTGCATCCTTCAAGTATTTTATTTACTGATGCCAGCTCCTGTTCAATCAGGATTGATAGTTCCTCCAATTCTACTTCGAAATTCTGAAAATGCAGTGTTAAAGTTACCAAAACTTACTACCATTCAATAAAATATATAAAATCAAATAAACAAAAGAAAATGCATTATACTTTGTAACAACTAGGTTTGAGAAAAATTTACTTATGTTTATGTTGAAAGAATTCGTTCTTATTAAAAAGGTAACTCTGAACTACAAAACAAAGCATACTCACCTCTGCCGAGTGGAACTGTTCACGAAGCACAGCTAGGTCAGTACCAGGTGATTGCTGCTGCTTCAGTCTGACCTCAACATCCAGTACAAGAGAAAGGTAACGGACGAGATTCTCATCATGTTTCAGGCATTGTTGTTTACTATACATAAGCTAATGACACAGGGAAAAATAAATCAAATTTATTAGACATTAAAACCAAATCCACTATAGACAATTTTAATTTGCACTGATTTTCAATCATTATTTTTGTCTGTAATATCAATAAAAAGCTTCTGTTGAACTGTATTTGCACAAAATACAAACAATAAGTGGAAGATTAAGGCAACTGTAGCACACTATTTTGCCCTACATTGCTGTAAACATATTAGTAGGTCAACTTTCTGTCTTTATTATAATTGAAAAAATGATCATGGAAATCCAAAACTTTGGCAAGGACATCTTGTTTATAGTTATGTTGTTGTCAACATTAGTATTTGGTCTGAACAAACCAATGTCTGGGGCATCACTACAGGAGTTCCTTACAAAACCATCTAGTGCTACTTCATTAATGACCATCCTTTCTAAGGTGTCAGGAGCTGGTGGAAATCCCAACAGCTTCATTAATGTAATTTCAAAACTATAACAACTCACGTGAACCTACAGGAGGATCTTGAAAATATCCTTACTTGGATTGGCAAGTGGCAGATGGAATCTGTACTATGTACTACCAATTAATGACCAACTATCTCCATCAAAATAAAAAGCTCACAACCTTGACCAAGTCTTCCCTTAACCTTCAGTGCCACCAGCACATCAAACACCACTTTGTCCGACATTAAGGGCACTACGGCAATAAAGTATCCTAAAGCACTTCACAGGAGCACAAAATTCTAAGGGGGTAGCGATGGCCTAGTAGTATTCAAAGATGATCATACTTGACACTTGTGTGCTTTGAATATTACTCATCTCTGATCAGCTCAAGTCAGGATGTTGCCCAGGTTTTGCTGTATAGCAACAGCAACTGCTTCATTCTCCGAGGGCCGCGCATTTAGAATTGTGGCTGTTCGATGAAATTAGTGTAGTTGAGGGAGTGTCATTAATGAAGTAGCTGATTATAACTGCCTCAGGCATTATTGCAGACTTGTCCACGGGCTCAGTTCCAACTACTATGGGGTTCCTTTGTGCTAGGTATGAACCGATCTATGAGCGATCAGGGTGAATTGCCTTAAATGACCAGCTACCAGGGCTTGTTTCTAGGTATCACTGGTCAAATGCTACCTTTCTACCAAGGATAGTCATTCTTCTCCCTCATTTCTGGAAGTTAACTTGTGTCAATGTTTTGTTCGAAGGCTGGAATGACATCTGAAGCCAAGTAGTTGTGACAGAACACAAAAATCATGGTTAGCAAGATATTGCCAAATGCCAATTGATAGCATTATTCAAAGTATGCCAATTTAGGAATCAATTGTTACTGTGATACCTCCTCTTTTACCCAACTCACTGTCTTGCCTGAACATTCTATATCCTGGAATACTGAACTGCCAGCCCTGCTCCTTCTTTAATCTTAGCTCCGATCGCATCTCCACTCTGTATCCCATCCTCCTGTCAAAGAAGTTTAAACCCTCACCAATAGCACTAGCAACATTTCCCCCCTCCCCTTTTTATTTATTTCTCAATCTGTACATGATTTGCCAATGAGTTTATTATCTGAACCCTTCTGGTTCAGCCTCTATTATGCTGCTTAACAATGGTTCAATCTGTTTGTTTAAGAAATAGAAGTGCTGGGCTTGTTAGGATAGGTCCAACATACCATACAGTGTGATTGTGGCAGTGTCCCTACCTCTGAGCTAGATGACCTCGGTTGAATTCCCACCTACCCTAGAGGTTGTGAAATAACATGTCTGCACAGGGTGCTTTACAAAAAAAAAGAAAAAAATCATGCACATCTTGGTGTTACACATCTTGGATTTCTAATTTGCAGCAAACTGCCTTGCAAGATCCCATTTGTTTATGG